AACAATGTTCCTTTTTCTTGAAAACTAGCACAAAGGCTCTTTTGGAAACATAGTTCCTTTCTTACTCAAATGTAAAAACATGTAGAAACTTCTTTGGAAATACATAGTTCCCTAATAGCTTTTGAGAATTAACTCAACTTTAAACTCTTCACTCAACTTGAAACTTGAGACCTCTTTCTTAGCTTGGAACTCTAAGCTCTTTACTTGACTTGAAACTAGAGTCTTAAAATGAAGTTAAAATGTTCAATAAAGACTCTTGAACAACCTTAAGAACTTGCTTGAACTAACTTCTTAACTTTTCTTAACTTCTAATTTCACTTGACTTCTAACTCTCCTTGAATTGAATTATGAATTCAAGGTGTTTGATCACATGTTACGGATGAGTTCGGGAGGTTTAAATGTACCTTAGAGTGTTGGAAACAACCATAAATCATAGGTACAATACCAAGGAACATGCATGGGAAGGTATGGAATGAAATGGGACACTTGGTGTCCTTGGCGCTCTGCTAGGCGCGGAGCGCCAGCCCCAAAACATCAGAGGGCGGCCTGCTGGCGCTCTGAGAGGCGCACTTCCCCAAGGGGGAAACTTCAGAATCCCTTTTGGGGCGCGCTGGCAGGCGCGACGCGCCAAACCCCTTGTCCAGAAACTCGACTTTTCTCCCTTGTTTTGCCAACTCTAAACCACCCTTAGTTCAAGGGCTTCAACCCCAAACACTAAGGATCATCATATCCCTCAACATACAATGGAATACAACTCAAAACACAACCAGAAACAAGTCCCAAATCAACAAGAACCTCAACATCACAATCAACAACAATACCAACACAACCCAACAACTTCAACAACATAACCAACCATTTCTCAATAAATAAAATGGGCTTGGTGTGTGGGGGAAAGGATCAACCCACACTAACTACTCACATACCTAGTAAGGATCACCCCCGACGATTTCCACTACGATCTTCGACGGAAACTCCTTGATCTCCTCTTCCTCTTCTC